GTTAATTTCTTTGAGTCTTCCTATGAGATATTCTATTTTAATGCAAATTAATTAATATGTATAATTCTAGCTTTCAAGTCCAGATAAATGAAAAAGAAAAATGAGAAATATTATTCCCAGTAGGTGAAGGACACAAGAAACGCCACACTTGTGTATATTAATTTACATTGAAATATGGGCCATTGTTGTTCGGTAAGTTGTCATTAAAAAAGGATGTCATATTGTAACGGAAAATCTAATCGTAATATATTCTGGTGCAAATTTGGTACAGAATAATAATTATGATTATTATTATCATTATTAGTAGTATTATTTTTATTATAGTATTTTATTATTATTTCCTTATTTCTGGTAGGAGAATATTCATTTATTTGGTATTTTATTGTTTAGCAAGTTAGGGTTATTAGTTTTGAGAGCCTTATATAAAGTACTCTCCCGCTTTATTGTTACTTGGTGAATTGATGATAATAAGAAGTGATTGAGTTTTGTGAAGGACATTTATAGGATGACTAAGATTCGGGAGAGGAAGACAAGGGACATCAACCAAATCAAATGCATTAAAGATGGGTTGGATCGGCCACTGGTGAAAGATGGGGAGATTAAGGACAGATGGCGAGAGTACTTCGACAAATTGTTTAATGGGGAGAGTGAGGGTCCTACCCTGGAGTTGGATGACTCATTTGAGGATACCAATAGACGCGTGGTGAGAAGAATTCGAGAGGCAGAGATCGGAGAGGCTATGAAGAGGATGAAGGGAGGTAAAGCAATGGGTCCTGATGGTATCCCCATTGAGGTGTGGAGATGCTTGGGCGCCAGAGCGTTAGCATGGCTAACTAAACTTTTTAACCTCATTTTCTGGTCAAACAAGATGCGTGATGAATGGAGGAAAAGTACTTTAGTACCGATCTTCAAGAACAAGGGAGATGTTCAAAGCTGTGGTAACTACCGTGGGATTAAGTTGATGAGCCATACGATGAAGCTCTGGGAGAGGGTTATAGATCATCGCCTACGACGAATGACGAGTGTGACCCAAAACCAATTTGGGTTCATGCCTGGAAGGTCGACCATGGAGGCGATTTTTCTAATACTTCAGTTGACGGAGAGATATAGGGACCAAAAGAAGGACTTGCACATGGTCTTTATCGACCTCAAGAAGGCTTATGATAGAGTACCGAGAAATATCATGTGGTGGGCCTTAGAAAAGCACAAAGTCCCATCTAAGTACATTACCCTCATCAAGGATATGTACAAGGATGCGGTGACGTGTGTCGGAACATGTGGGGGCGACACTAGCGACTTTCCAATTAAAATAGGACTAAACCAGGGGTCAGCATTGAGCCCTTATCTATTTGCCTTAGCGATGGATGAGGTCACAAGGGACATACAAGGTGATATCCCTTGGTGTATGCTCTTTGCTGATGATGTGGTGCTAGTTGACGAGAGTAGAGCATGGTAAATAGGAAGTTGGAGCTGTGGGAGGACGCGTTAGAGTCGAAAGACTTCAGACTTAGTAGGACGAAGACCGAGTACATGACGTGCGCTTTCAGCATGGCTTCACATGATGATGGCGACGTTATCCATGACGGGCAAGTGGTGACCAAGAAGGAGACTTTCCGGTATTTGGGATCGATGCTACAAAAGGATGGCGGCATTGATGCTGATGTTAGGCATAAAATTGCAGCCGGTTGGTTGAAATAGCGTCAGGCATCGGGCGTTCTCTGTGATAAGAGGGTGCCACAAAGGCTAAAAGGTAAGTTCTATAGGACGGCGATTCGCCCGGCGATGCTATACGGTGCTGAATGTTGGCCTACAAAAAGGCAACATGTCCAACAACGAAGTGTAGCAGAGATGCGTATGTTGCGTTGGTTCTGCGGACACACAAGAAGGGATAGAATCCAGAATGAGGATATTCGAGATAGGGTCGGGGTGGCTCCAATTGAGGAGAAATTGGTTCAACATCGGCTGAGGTGGTTCGGACATGTCCAACGGAGGCCTCCTGATGCACCGGTGCATAGGAGAGTTCTACAGCGGGTCGAGGATGTTAAGAGAGGTAGAGGTCGGCCTAAACTCACTTGGGAAGAGTCAGTTAAGAGAGACCTTAATTATTGGAATATCTCCAACGATTTAGCGGTGGATAGGAGCGCTTGGAGGCTCGCTATCAACGTGCCAGAACCGTGACTTTTGCTCCTTTCTCTCTCTCTCCTTCGTTTTTTTTTTCGATCTCTTCCTTT